TCCTGTTGAACTAATTATTAGCAGTCTCACACTTACTGTCCCTAGTTTGGTCATGCCTCAAGTGCAATCATCTTTCTTTACATCTCCCCTAGCATAAACTTTCATAATCTTAAAGGCCTAATACTACAGTTGTTTCCTTTTTTAGAGGAGAGATCCAGCCTTCAATCTTTCCTAATATGTACTATCCTAAAATACTTTGCATCAATCTTCAATTGAGTACACCCTCTATCTTATTGTGTGGCATGACCACGATGCTGAAGAACATAGATTTCAAACAGATCTCACAATCAAAAGTCGAGATCCATGAGACAGTGTAGGCCATCAGCAACAGCAGAATTGTACTCAGATAAAATCTGCAAACTCATGGCCCAGTATATTCCCCCATTCTATCATAAGCTGGAGAATGAAGCACAGGTGAATAAAGTGTGCAGAAGTGCATTCCAGGAGCAGCACAGGGAAAGTTTTAAAATGAGAACTCAACCTGATGAAGCAACCATAAAACTCTTTTATGACAAACAATAAGGGAAGCTTGTGACAAAAAGAGCTAAGCTATCCCACAATCAATGGATCAGTATCACACTTTGCAATCCTGACACATGTACAACAGCAGACAATTAAACAATAAACTGGTGAAGAAAACTCCATACATATCTCCGTCCTCAAAGAATACTGAGCTTGGCACAAATACAACAGACAAAGCTGAAGTATTTGCAAGCATCTTCAATCAGCAGTGCAATACGAATGATCCATGTCAGCCTCCTTTTGAGAGATGCCAGTCATCTACTAATTTGATTAACTCCATGTGCTATCAAACAACAGCTGATAGCATTGGATTCTGCGAAGGATGCGATGAGCCGATAGCCTTCTTCTCTACCGTAACCATTCTATAATTCTAACTACAAATGTGTTCATCTTTTCCATTTGTTCACCCACTTACATTATGTGCTCCAAATCCTCTATTTATTCAGGTAGTGCTTTTTTCTTTGTCATCATGCGAACTTTAGCTTTCTGAATCTTTTATTTAATGTATTCCTCTTCCAAATAACTTAATCCTTAAAGTGATCCCTGAATAATGTCCAGTGGACATGACCGTTAATGTTGGGATTAAGTGAAGATACAAGAAGATACGATAAGAAAGGAAAGCTGGGAAGAGAAGTATGATGGAGTGACTCCATGGGAGAACACTGGAGATAAGGGGCTGGATTTTTGTCTTCTTATTGGAAGGGGTTAGGAATGCAAAAAGAAAGGAATTTGTGACTGTAAGTTCTAATATGCAGTGCCTTCTCAAACACGTGCAATTACTGTGGAATCTTGTCATAGGTCATAAATTGCAAACAGACCTCTTCTGAAGCCAGGATCACTATTGTGAGTATCATAGGGAATTTAAATTTCTTTTCCCACATCATTTGATGTGCTGAAACCCTAAAAAAACACCCACCAGATATGAGGGTTTGTAAGCTGTAGGGAAACTTTGCTGAAGGGTCCAGAACATTCTGACAGGTAAGTGTTCAATGTTTTGACACCACTGAATGTCACAATTAGACACAGCATTATAATATGGATCTACATCAATGCAATGTTTGATCGTAAGGTTTTGTCCTTTGAAGGCAAGTTCATCATTGCATTTACCATTATTGTGTGTTTTGATATGCATGACAATACATTTCCCAATGCAGAAAATACCATAATGCTTTTAAACTGTAGAAAAATATGTTGAGAAAATATTCTGTCGTGTTTTGGACTGAGATTTTAATATCCAACAGTCTTTAGCTTTTAAAGAAATGGCCGGGTTGTTGAGCATATAAACTTAATAAGCTAGTAGCATTTAATTGATTGACATGCAGACTGCTTTCAAATGAAAATGACACGATCTGCAGCTTTTAAAAAAAGCATCTCATGTTTCAATGTTATTGTGTTCCACTGTTGACATTAACAAGCATCACTTGACAGATAGGAATATTTATGACATTTGGTTGAGTTTCCATAAGTCAAACACCACTTATATCATGGGGTGGAAGTGCTGTGTTTGTATATTAATTGACATACTTCAAAGATTATTATACAATTCACTGTCTTTGATATTGTAAACAGATAAATGTGTTTGTTTTTACAGCAGACTGAAAACTTCAAGAAATTTAGTACTTTTTCAATGCTATTTATAGAGAAAGGTTCTGTTTTCTGTAGGAAGTGTTTTTGAATATGACAGATGTATTAGATTGTTAGATGTTCATTTTTAATATATTCAGGGACCTACCCATATTGAATGGCTGGTTAAGTGGCTATGAAGTATATAGGGGGGCAAGGAAGAGGTAAGGAAATGGAAATAGCCTAACTTGCAATTCCGATGTCCAAAATGAAAATTAGCTCAAGGATTTTAAATTCAACACAACAAAATGCAAAGAGTAAGGAGAACATTGAAATAATCAAATATGGAGGTAACACCTGTATTGCTAAGGGTTTCAACAGCAGATGGACTAAGGAACAGAGCTGTAGATAGGAAGAAACAATGCTGGAAAGGGAGAATGACAGCCGTGAGATGTCATTAGCATACAAATGGAAGGTGACAAGTGGCCTATAAAGCAGGTCACTTAAAGACAGCGTGCAAATGAACAAAATGAGAGGTCTAAGAATTGGTCCTTGTTTGGTGCTTAAGATAATGGTGTGGAAAAAAGTGAAGAAATTCTATTGCAGGACATATGTTGACTATGCTGTAAAAGGAAGAAGATGAACCAAACAGCGTTGTGCCATTTAATTAATGACTGCAAGAGAAACACAAGGGAGGTTGACATGATTAACTGTGCCATATTTTCTGGAAAATTGTGTAGGGAGGTAATAACAGAGCCAGAGTCTCAGATGCAGTTCATCATGTCTTTGAGCAGAGCAATGTGTCTTTAGTGAACTTCAGGGATTTTAACAGCAAGTTTCCAATGAACTAGCCTTGTCATTAGAGTGGGAAGAGCCTGCCAATTAGCTCTCTGTTACATAAAAACATAGAAGATAGGAACAGAAGTAGGCCATTCGACCCCTCAAGCCCACTCCACCATTCAATATGATTATGGTTGATCACTGAGCTCAATACCCTGATCCATCATATCCCTTGATCCAAGAGCTATATCTTGCTGCTTCTTGACAACACATAATTTTTTGGCCTCAACCACTTTCTGTCATTTTGAATTCCATAAGTTCACCACTCTCTGGGTGAAGAAATTTCTCCTCATCTCAGCCTTAAAAGATTTACCCCTTATTCTTAAATTATGACCCCTGGTCTGGACTCCTCAACCTTTGGGAACATCCTTCCTGCATCTAACCTGTCTATTCCCCCTGTTAGAATTTAATGGGTTTCTATAAGATCCTCCTCATCCTTCTAAACTCCATTGAATAAAGTCCCAACTGACTCAATCTCTCCTCATCCATCAGTCCTGCTAACCCAAGAATCAATTTGGCAAACCTTCACTGCACTCCCTGTATAGCAAGAATATCCTTCCTCAGATAAGGAGACCAAAACTGCATACAATATTCTAGGTGTGGCCTCAACAATACCCTGTATAATTGCAGCAAGACATTCCTGTTCCTCTACTCGAACTCGAACCCTCTCCCTATGAAGGCAAAAATACAGTTGGCTTTCTTTACTGCCTGCTGCAATTGCGCACTTGCTTTCAGTGACTGGTGCACAAGGACACCTGGTCTCATTAAACATTCCCATCTCAGTTTACAGCCATTCAAATAATAATCCACCTTCCTATTTTTGCTATCAATGTGGATAACCTCACATTTATCCACATTATACTTCATTTACCAAGCACTTGCCTGCTCACTCAGCTGTCCAAATCACAGTGCAATATCTCTCAATCCTTAAACAATGCCACATTTAAAATAAATTATTTCCTTGCTTTAAAATCCTTCCTGTTTAGGGCCTTATCCAACTTGGTAATTAATTCTGTAAGGTTGAGAAAGCAAGAGATGAGTCTCATCACTAAGATTAGATTTGCGAGGGCATGAAAAGAGATAGGAGATAAGATTTAATTAGAGAAAGATATAGTTTTACTGCTTTAGGTTGGAGAGATCCTTGAAGGATATTTGGCACAAAGCACTCAGGGCAGAGGTGACCTAGTGATATTATTGCTGAAATGCTAATCCATAGACCTAGGTAATGATCTGGGGACCTGAGTTCAAATCCCATGATGGCAGAATTTTGGGTGGCATGATGGTTTAGTTGTTGGCACTGCTGCTTCACAGCGCCGGGGACTTGGATTTGATTCCAACCTCGGGCGACCGTCCGTGTGGAGTTTTCACATTCTCCCTGTGTCTGCATGGGTTTCCCCCATGTGCTCCGGTTTTCTCCCACAATCCAAAGACAGGCAGGTTAGGTGGATTGGCCATGGGAAATGCAGATTTATAGGGTGGGGCGTGGGTCAGGGTGGACTCAATGGGCTGAGTGGCCTACTTCCACACTGTAAGGATTCTAAGAGAGGGAAGTGTAAAAGGCAGCTGGTCAGATTGTCTCAATTTTAATGGGGAACATTTGTTCACTTTTTGTTGAAGGAATGAATGGAGATGACAGGAAAATGATTTTTAAAAAGATAGCTTGCTATAAAAAAACTGTCTCTTTCCCCAACTTCTTGAATCAGACTAATGTTATAAATTTGTGAGCAAGGCATTTCTTATGCAGGAGATAAAAGAAAAGATGAGCTTATGATGTGAAGAAAATGCTGTTACTTGAATCTTAGATGTTTCAGAAGTGATATTACAACCATAGAAATATATTACATCTGATTACAAGATTTTTACTAGGAAGATCTATACATTTCTTAATCAGCACCTGGTGTTTTGAATGCGGCAATACTAATTTTCAAACTGAGAATCTCGTATAATTAAAACGCTTTGAGATAATTAAAATGCCATGAAGAATTTGCAATTAAAGTAAATTATGACATTAGATTAAATAGATTGTAAATAAAATGCAGGCATTTACTAATATAACAATGTCTTCCATGATGCAGATCTTTCCAGGACCTTGCCAAACAGAGAGACGTTCCATATGGTACAGTCCTTGATTCAGAAGTATTGCAAATAATCAAAACCAAAGGTCGAAATCCATTTGAGCTTGAACAAACATATGCTCATTTGTGGAATATGATAAACAAAACAAATGGCTTGGAGAACTGTGTGAAGAGAATTCATGATGGAATTCAAAGGGTGAGTGAACAACTACATTCAGGACACTATTTGCTGCAAAATATTAAATACAGTTGAACTTGGATAGTGTCCTTCAATATTATTGTTTATAAATATTTAATGGCATGTATTGAAAGTTTATTGGATTAATTTTAATTAAAGGATTTTCATATATATAGGGTGGAAATGTGGACACAAAACAAGAAATTGCAAATATTTCTATTCTACATTGTGAATTGAAATGCAAGACAATTTTCTGATAAATTTTAGCATCTGGATTTTTATTAAAACCCATCCTAAATGATACATACGTACTTGCACTCCATGCAGTTCTGTCAAAAATCTAAATTGAAATTACCTGGGGTAATAAAGCTGTTGTTCTGTTAAGATAATATGGGACTATCCTGTATTTCTTTGTAATCTTGTGACCAATCAACATTGGCGCAGGAAGGGAGAATTTAGTAGATAACTCATGCGGTCATAATACTTCGATGACAATGATGCCTAATGTTTCTGAAACAATTGAAAACTCACCATCAGCTTGAAAGTTGAAAACTTTATTAAGTTAGCTGTGAATTTGCAGATAATAATGAATTGTAGTTTTGAGCCAATCTGGCCTAGTACTTAGAAGGCTGTAGCAGCTGGCGCATGGTGCAATGTAGCACAGAACCATTTAGCGAAATGTTTACCCCCTTCATTGTTCAGTTCTCTGAATTCTGATAAAAAAATTTTCTCTCCACCTGCGCTAAAAAGCAATGGAAGCCATGGAGGCTAGCAGCCTCCAGGTAATCACAAAGTGTCAATGCTAAGAAATGAAACCATGAACGATAAAATGCATCCTGTCTTTATGAGATCTGTGTATACTTCAGTATGCAAAGCAACATGGCAGACATATGCAAGTTATAGGTGCTCCCAAACTCCAAAGTGATGCCATGAAAGGCTGATGTAATACATTAGTTGGTCAGGGAGCATGAAAGGTGATGTGATGAGACTGGTGGTTTCCCGATGCCAATTTCTGTCTTTGAAAGTTGGAGAATGGCGTTCATGGAGAGTGGAGGGATATTGTGTGAAGACAGAGTTGGTTGAAGAATTGGAGAGACAAGTGGGAGTTGCTGCTGCCAGGTAACTGTTCTTCCACCTCGGGAATTGGAGGTGTCATGTTTCTTGGGAGAGGAGGGAAGAATTTGAAGTGCTTAGAAATCAGATGGGTCAGATGATTAATGAGATTCAATTGAGTAAAAATGAGGTAATTGCCGCTCATTAGTGAGATTCTGAACGAGCTGCTTAAACTTCAAGGAGAAAATTTTTTGTTTATCAATGTTGGAATCCTGATTTTTTTTTCATTTTTCTCATATTTCCCCTCAGTTCTCTCCTTTATCCATGTTGTTCAAAGGCACAGAGCAATACGGCAAATTTTATCCTGTCTGAGTTTGCACAAATAATAGTGTATAAGATGACTTAATATGGTGGATGTCAACAAATCAGCTTCCCGATATTGTTGAAAAATGTACTCAACCTAACACTTCACATCTTACATGACAAATCCAGAACCTTGCCTTAGGGTCACAAGTTAATTATTTCCATGCACTTGCATCTTGTTAGTGCCCCAACATGTCATATTAACATCTCGTTTCAAGCTGTCCTCCCGCAATCGAGAAACTCAATAGCACAAAAACTCCACAGCCAAAACGTATTGGGCACCTGGCAACTTTCATCAGTATCTATTGCAGCTCATAGGAATAACTGTACTGTCAATCATATTTCCGTTCACATAGAACCACTTCTTCTACATGCCTCTATGACCAATGACCACACTCTTCCTCAGTCCTTCATCCAGAGAACTCGGCATCAGCAAAGTACAAAGCTCATAACCTCATCAGGCCTGGGCTTGGCCCAAAGCAGCCAACATTTCAGGGATTCAAGTACCTACTTTGGAGCTGAGGGACTGCCAGGACTTGCACACTTGTGGCAGGTTAGTTTGCATTTAGAAACAGCCATGCATTTTACGCATCAATACAGGATTTTTAGTGCTTTCTTCAAGGCAGGCATCCTCTAGGCCTTAGCCTGATTTTAAGAAGATGAAGAATTTAGCGGCAAGTTAGAAGCGGACATCCTCTATGGCTTAGGCTGCTTCTTAGCGCAGAATGGGATTGCAGCTTGTGGCAGTGAGAAGGACTAAAGAGTAAATGTATTAGTCAGAGAGGGACTGGATATGTTGTTGTACATCAAAGCTGTAATGCGTGCAAGCACCATACACACAAACACATGGAATGAGCACAATTCTGGGTAGGCCAGCATTTATTGCTTCCCTAATTGCCCAGGGGGCAGTTATGTGCTTGAAGAAAATGTTAATATGTGAAAGTCAAAGAGGAGGAGTGTTTAGTGAGCTTAGGATAGATTCTAGTCAGTCATGGTATACCAATGCATTCAGACCTCGGCTGGTCCAGTTTCAGTCCAGGCAGTAGGCCACGGTCAGTCGAGCATTTGTTCCACCATGAGTCTGGGGATCTGTGTCCTTGCTGTCTGGAGATTTTGACATGGACAGTCCTCAAAGTCAAGTGGAAAGAGTCTGAGGATTACATCCCAGTCAGTCAGGGCGCTATTATGACATCAGTCCAGACAGTGAGCTCTAGTCAGTCAGAGCTGACCTGCCAAAGCAGCCCAGAGGGTGGAATTCAGTCACTGGGGCTTGGCCACTAATAGTCAGAGGATTTATCAGGGTCCATAATAAACCTGATATTTAAGCGTCCATAGCATCCTGCTGAGAGTGAGCAGATGAAGTCTAGAAATGGGAGTCATTTCATAGGGTTGATGAAGGAATGTTGACAGTGATGGTGGGCATTTATAGATAAGGTTGGCCCTCATAGTTAATGGGAGAGAACTAGCAGATCACAAAGTAGGGAGAGGGTTCATGTCTATCATGGTTACTCTGGCCCCTATATGAGTATGCTGTTGAGCTATTAAGGGCATTGGAACCATGAGAATCATGAGCTCTGCGCATAAAGTAGTCAAATCAATAGTAATGTGCATGGGCTGACCCAAAATGGGGAGGCTGTACTGTCATCAGGAACACAGGCACAGCAACTCGAAAGGGAGTATGAAGAATTGGGGGAAATAGGTGGATCACAGGCAGAGACTGCAAGTCACACGCATGAGCACAACGTTGGAACTTTGTTGCAATCAAATGGAAGAAATAAGGTGCTTCTTTTTCCTCTATGGAGGCGGTGTTACCAACTTTGTTTTTGAGGTTTGCCAAAGGGCAATTGTAATAACAATGGCTTCACTGATTAAGAAATGCAACCATCGGCCATCAATTCTAGAGATCATTAATTCTCAAAGATTGCAGATATCAGGCAGTCATGAGTATTACATTGTTCCCACTGATTGCCTCCTTGTCATGTAAGCTCAGCAAGTCCTATTGTAAGGAGGAACTTAACAGCAGAGCCTAAGATTTCAATTTATAAATGACAATCCATAGCAAGCACTGTAAGACAACACATAGCAACTTCCATAACCTCACACAGAAAAATAAATGTGCAAAGACACAGGCTGTGGTGTTCTTTTTGCTTTGGGAAGGTGTGGGGCATTTCGTGGTGGGTTACTTTAGGACATCTAATTCACAATGGAGCATAGGCATGTTGATTGTCTCCAGTACGTTCGAGAAGTCACATACCTCAGTGCTTCTTATTGAGACATGTTGGTGATCTCCTTGGGACCTCTTCCTTACCCTGTGTGAGACCATAGCCATCAGCCTGATTGTTAAGGATGTGAGGGCTCAGTTGTCACTTCATTAACACTCCGTGATTTCTTTGACATTCCCCATGGATTAGCTGTTCATGGAGCTGAAGTGGCAGATGGATTTCCCAGCATCTTTGTGGTCTTGCTCTTAATTAGAAGGCCATAGAGCAGGAGACAGCTATAATAAGAGCTGCAGCAAGTGAAGCAAGAACAGTAACCTGCAGCATTTGTCACACAGCCTCCAAAGGAAGAAGCAGGACAAGATCCAAGCGAAGGTGACAAGATGCAGATGAATGGTAAGACCTAGGGATTACAGGATTCACTGTCGTTAAAAACAAATGTATGAAGAGCAGTACCACTGAAGATTAAAGGTATCTCAATTCATCATTTCAGAGTTATGTGAGCTGCTTGATTCACAAAAACCTGTTGAAAATTCCATCTCAATGGATGTCAAGGTCACAGCTACCAGAATCTCGATTCAATGTGCAACTGAAGACCTCTCCCAATCCTTCACTAATAAGTGCATCTGGGATGTCCTTGATGCTGTTTTCGTCAGAGTCCACTTCTTCCTATCCTTTTCCCTTGACGATGATAATGAGGCAGCTAGAGCATTAGGATTCTCCACCTTCGCTCCTCCCTTCAGATACAGAGAGATATGGATTGCACTAGTGTTGCTTTAAATGTACCCTATCACCAACCAATGGCATTGGTGAAGAGGCAGAGTTCCATTGTTCATATTGTTAACTGCTTTGTGATCACAAATTCAAATTCTGGAAGACTCCATCAAATATTCTGCGAGCTGCCATGACTTGTATACACTTGAGCTCAGGTTCCTGCCTCTTTCTAAAATCCTCAGCTCATTCAGGATGAGTGCTGGGAGACAAGAGTTACCCCTCGAAACATGGCTTATGACACCTTTAAGAACTCCACAGATCAACACAGAATGAAGAACAATGATGCTTAATCTTTCATCAGAGCCATTGTGAAACAGACTGTAGGCTGCTTTAAGGTGAGGTTTCGATGACTGAACCATTCCAATGGAGCTCAGCAGTACAGCCCAGAAAGGTTCATTGTAGTATGCTTCATTGTGGTTGCTGTGCCCTAAACAGCATGAGCCCACAAAAGGCAAATGCCCCGGATGCAGACAGTTTGGGGAGTGAGAGCAATCTGAAGATAAAGATGAGACTGAGGATTTGAATGGTTTCCAGGAGGGCCATATAAACAGGGAGACAGAGCAATGTGTTTCAGAGCCCGAGTGACCAGAGACAACGTTATAGTCACCT